GGTGACAGCTCACAAGCAAGAATCACACATTTGTGAAATAATGAAATGGGTGGGCAGTTGTTATATGAACTCCATGTCAGTCGGTATGTTTTCCTGACTATCATTTTGCAGAAGTATGTCTCAGAGATATTTTCAGTTCATGGGAGAAGCCTGTGCCCTACCCTACACCTTGCTGCTGGCATGTGGGTGTAGGAATTCACCAAAGGTGGCGAGCAGCTTGCCAGTGACCCTGTCCATCACGTGCCCTGGGGGCTGCAGGATGCTCCCTGACATCCCCCTGCCAGGACACTTCACTACTCCCAGCAATGTGGTGGGAGAGAGGCAGAAAGGAAGGGTAAAAATATTTGGAAAACCAAACATGAGAGAAACATGGGATACCCACACTTGTTCCAAAATCTTACTTCCAGGCGTACAATTATTACCTTTTCATTGACATTTCATCTGCCCATCTTCTGCAGTCCTTATTGTGAGCTGGACTTGCTGACCACAAATGAAAACGAGCATTACAAAACCAGCCCTGCACTTCTACACTCTTCCTTTCTAGCTCTCCATGCCCCAAAAGCCATCAAATCCATTTTAAGGACCACTTTGACAAGCCTGCTTTTGCTAGCCCCAGTTTCTTAGCCCCAGTCTAATGTTAGCTCAAAGGGGAGGGAGCCGTGAAAGTGTCTTTTCAGACATCTTTTACCTTGCATTACCTGTCTCATTTCCGAGGTCTGGGGAATCTACTGATTTTCAACAACTTTGATAGGTACTGTTTCTTGCAGATGCTGTTTACTGCACTTGATGTTACTATTTTTTGCCAGAGGAGTGAACTAGTTCTCCTGAAATCTTAGGGATGCTCTCTTTGTTTGCGTAGCTGATTAAAAAAAATAAAAATTCTAGCAGCTACATCTTCAAGTGCTTAGTGGTGATTTACTACAATGATTCATGGTAAGACTTACAGCTCCGAGGAAAATCTGTCCCTCGGGATTTATCCACCTTTCCAGAATTTCTCATGGCAGGGCAACCATATGCCACTGTATTTAGGAAGCAACTTATGGTTACTGATTGGCAGCCAGTCTGCATTTTCTTAGTGCATTTCTAAGAGCTCAACTGCATTAATGTGATAAAGAAAGGAGAAAAAAAAAAAAAAAGGACTCTCTGTACAAAGCCAAATGTATGCGCCCAGCCACCTCAGATTAATGAAATGCTAGACATTAATCCACTGGCATACATGCCTGTGAATGCTGGCCACTAAAAATAAATAGTGAGAAATATCAGACCGTTTGAAACAGGAAATTGTTGAGCAATCCTAAAAATCAAAAGGTTATCCAAATGGTGAGCTGCTGAGAATGGCAAACTTGCATAGAGACAAGGCCTGTGTCAAACATATATTATAGAAACCATCTTGTGCTGAGCACAGACACCTGACAGACACCAAACCACTGAAGCCAACACTTGTGGTACCAGGTAAAAGAAAACCTTTAAAAAAGGCAAAAAAAGACTGCCACACCAAAACTTTGGACGAGGAAGACATAGTCCAAGGACATTGGCCATTTTACAGTAACGTAACTGTAAGAGATGAAAGGTGGTGATGAACAACCACCAAAGCAGTGACAGCTCCTGGAGAAACAGGAGATACTGAAATCAATAAAGCTACTTGCAGATGAAGGTATGAGTCACCAGGATGGGACCAAAACCGGCCCTTGTCATTTGTTAGCAGCCGTCCATCCCAGGCCTCTCTGCAGAGAATGATTAGAATTCCAGAGAAACATGGCAACAGAGGCAGAAAGGGAAATGCTGGAGTTTTTTAAGAGCTGGCAAGAAAGTAATGGATGCAAACTTAAAATACAGGAAGATACACAAAATTATGCATGGAGTGGAAAATTCATATAACTAGAAGCTCCTTGACAACCTCCTAGATAACAGAAAAAAAATTATTTTGGGAAGTGGGTAGATTTTTAGTAGGGCTCATCAACCTCTAGTTCAGAGTGGATGTGTTGAAATATTGGCTCTACCACATTACTTTTCCCTAAGTGAAAAAAGGTCAGAGGACGTTTCATTATGAATTTAATGAGACCAATACTGCAAATCATGAGTGCTTGAGTGTCACCCAGCCTCCTGCCAAAGGATGCTGCCGAAACCTGGCTCCTCTCTCCTCGCCTTTAGAGCTGCCTCCTGTGGCACCCTGACAGGTATCCCCAGCAAACGCGAGTTCTCCAGGTGGAAAT